TTACAGAAACATTCCTGATTAAATAGTTTTTACTACGTATTTTGTTTTTACAGGACAAATACAAATTACAAAATTAAGTCAGTGTCACTTAAAATTACTAAAGCTACTAGATCAATAATGTAAGTTAAGTTAGTTTTACTTAAAAATTTCAATTTAATCAGTCTCAACAATTCTGAGTTAAATGAACTTTCTGGTTTTGTTTTATTTGACAGTTCACAGAAGTGAACCCACATACTGAAATATCGCCCGACTGTGTACGTTTTCTTACACTCCTTGAAATCAGGAACGCCTCACGACTGTTGGGGGTCCCGACCCTCAGGTGGGGACCCACTGTTGAAGGAAGCTGAACGAGACTCTGTGATTGTTTACTGTGTGAAGCTGCTTTCAGTCCCCGCTGTTTGTTGTTTGTCAGCCGGCGGAGCATAAAACAGGAGAATAAAAACGCAATCGACTCACATTGTGCGACTCCTGAGCCTCTTTTTCCTTGTGTACTTCTGAGAACTGACTCTTGCACCGTAACAGAAATGTCAACATGCAATACCTTTATCTTATTACAGCCACAATGGCTCCATCCATCTCTATCAAAGCACTGACACCGGGGAGTATATTTTACTTTGTACTGAAGGTCTGAAGACGGCGGTAGAAATGCCACCACGCATATGCACCTCTTCATTACCTCACGCTGCATATATATATTTCACAGGAGATGAGTGTCTCACTATTTGAAAGGTGATTTCCCTGCGGGGGCTCGCCGGGAAGCAAGCAGAGCCGTAAGCAGCAGGGGTGTTCGGGCCAATATGGCAGCCTGGGGGCTCTTTTATGTCTCCGGTTAGAACCGAAATGGCATCCTGGGCGACATTCACCACGTCTCATTGATCTTGTTGTCAGAGCGGCTCGAGGACGGCTACAAGTGCTGAACACAACACGGGGCTAAGAAAGCCCCACAAAGGCCGCTCTGTGTGCCTGTCTGAGGCACATTCAACCCTTAAGAGGGGAGTGAGTGTAAAAGGAACCGGAGCGACGGATGGACCGACCCGGGGATTCCATAGAGAGGTTTGATTCTGGGGTCTGGCCCGGGCTCGAGCCCCCCGCCCTCTCTCTCTCTCTCTACCCCCTATCCTGTCTGTCTTAAAACTGTCAAATAAAAGCATGAAAAGCCTCCGAAAAATATTTGATTCCTTGCCCGAACCCCATTGGACCCGTTCTAACCCGCCAGGTTCGGACCCAAAACCAGTAGGACCGGAGCAAAGTATACACACAAATCACACATCGCAGAAAGAAAGCAATAAGTTCTGCTATATAAAGATGTTGGCTACTTGTGTCATGTGACGCTCTGCCTTTCTCCGACACATCGTTTTTCACAAGTTTTACTGAAAATGAAAAGCAGAAACATGTTTAAAAAGGTTTTCAACAGTGAAACTGTGATGCTGCAACTGTGATTAATTAATTAATTTGTTACTTATTTGTTTTGATAATAATTTATATTACATGCACAACATAGTTTAGTTTAGCTTGTAATGAACTGTTCAAATCATTTATATTCAGTGGAAATTCAGTGTCAGGTTGGTACGGAAGCTCATTTCTGCCAATGTGATTTTAAAAAAATGATTCTGAAAGTTATAAGACACTTTATCAAAATATTGACTTTGTGACATGAATATGCTAAGTCAATATTTTAGGAAAACTTCTCATTATAATGACTTGAAAAATACTTGGCAGCAAGACGAGGACCCGCTCCCTCTGTAGATAAAAACATCTCATTCTCAGGTAACGAAAACACAATAATTCCTATTTTCAGGTGATTAAACACTAATGAAAACATACGTATGAATAATATACAATAAATCCTCCTCACTGGACCTTCAAGTACATAAATAAAATGTGACATTTTTGTGATTTAAAAAAAATACCACTGGATTTACAACCTCTGTATTTCTAAAATCATGATGGTTGTGAGTCCAGAGGAGGAGGAGGGCAGCAGTGAAGGAGTAAGTGGAGATTTGGTCACAAGAAAAATGGAAACGACTCCTGAATGTGGCTATAGACAAAAAATACTTTAGACTCAGCAAACAAAGAAAAAGAAAATACCGACTACAATTCAAGGGATGTTATATTACATTCCCTCTGAGGAAGAAAAGCTATTTAAAGTGTATGTTACAGCTACATGGGCCCAGCGAGGACAATAACAATGACTTATCTCCACTAAAAACACATTTGTGCTTCCATAATCTTCCACGCAGTTTTTCTTTTCCCATAATTACTCCTCTGACACCTGAATGTGGGCACTTCCGTCTCAACCCGCCGCTGTATGTTTTTGATCCAACCCGGCACGAAAGTCATAAAAGCACTTTATGTTTGACATTTTTCATTGTGCTTCTCAGTTATTAGAATCATTACGTGGCTCAAAACGAGGCCCTAAAGTAATAATCTCTGACATTTGCACATCAAGAACCGTCCACTTTGTTCCTCTCTGACTCGTCAGCAAGAGCTCGGCTGAGCTTTTACATCAGAAACACCCCAGTTCAGTTTATTCCTGTAGTGTTTAATACATACTGACAATAAATATAAAAATAAATTAAAGATGATGGATGGAAGAAACCTCCTGAATTTTGTGCAGATTTATTGAAGATGACAATATGACATCATTGTCCACCTACAGTAAGATGTGTTTTCTCATATCGTTATAAATGAATTTATACAGAGCTGCTCAAAACTTACAGATACATTTACACATCTGACATTTATTTTCCTCTAGGCTGGGGCGGCACAACGCGGTAAAACCATCATATTGCAATTATTGTGACAGATATTGGGATGTGGTTCACAATCATTGTGGGAATGATCATTTTTTGCATCATAAATTTCATTTTCACTGAAAAAACTATTACAATTATGATGATGTGACAACAAACAAGAAGATTTGTAGACCAGGACGTCTGCAGTGCTTCACTTTAATGCTCATGCACATTTTATCTTTATCAAAGAAAATTGCAGCTTCTGAGATTTGCATATTGCACCTTTTTGCCATATTGTGGTTTGGTTAATATTAATATTAATTGTGCAGCCGCGCTCTCAGCGTGGTTGACCTGCATGGATTCACTTTGTTAAGACTGACCTGGTTCGATCCGTTTCAATCAGCGCCACCCAGTTTCTTCCCTAATTATCTCTCATTTTATTGATTAATTTAGTCAACAGCTGATCGTATTTACCTGCTTTATTTTAAGCAGCTCAGGTTATTATCGGGTTATTATCTGGTTATTATCGGGTTATTATTAGGGTTATTATCTGTGTTATTTATCGGGGTTATTATCTGTGTTATTTAT